TCACCAGGTGTGAACTCAGGTCACCAGGTGTGAACTCAGCTCACCAGGTGTGAACTCACCTTGTCGAGCCAAATCAGCCGCCTCCGAATGAGGGATGCTGGTGACATCAGTCCCGTTCACAGCGAGGACGTAATCTCCGACCATCAGACCGGCTTCTTCAGCGGCTCCGTCTGAAACCAAAGAAACATGTTGTCATGATCTGAAGTTTGCTTCATGTTCCTGACGTGTTCCTGACGTGTTCCTGACGTGTTCCTGACATGTTCTGTATGTGAGATCAAATGTCAGTGTCTCTGGACGTGTTCTGGATCTTCTCCTGCAGCCTCTAGTAAAACATCTGGAACATGTCAGAGTGAGTCCATGAGAGAAAACTTCTGGAACCTTCTCAGTCACCATTTTGTGGAAATCTTTTTAAATCTGAAATTGTGTTTATAGATACGTCAGTGTTCATACGACTTCGACTCATCAGACAAACAAAAATGCTTCAAGAACAAAACATGAGATTAAAGACTGGGGGCGGCCACCAGAATGAATCCCCACAGGTGGCTGTAGGGGGCGCTGCTGCTGCTGGTGTGAGATGAGACAGTGAAACACTCACTCGTGTCGACCTCTGTGACCACGATGGGTTTGGAGAACTGAATTCGAAAGCCCCAGGGATACTCTCCTGATCCTTTATCGATCCTGACGGTCCGCTCTCGAACTGAAAGAGAACCAACGTGTTTATTTACTTCAGGATTGTCTGAGCGTCAGTTTTTATTCCAGGTGTTTTAATACTCAAAGAATTGTCTCTGTGATCTCCGCTCACTTGAAACAGCTCGAGTTCTGGTGTTGAGGCTCGGAGGAATAATTCCAGAGTCCACGTGGTCTCCTTGGTAAATCCACGCCGACGAGTGGAACGTCTCCATATAAAAACCTCCGTCCTCATTGTCTCGAGTCGTCATGTCCATAGAGCGAGTGTCCTCGGATACTAGAAAGTAAAAGTACACATAGAACATAATGATTGTGAGTCTGGTCTGAGGTCATCGATGAGCTTATCGTCCAATCAGGTGGAAGCATCCTGTGTGTATGAGTCACCTGATTCCTCTGTGACATCACTGGTGATGGAGCTTCCTCCAGCTGAGCTCCACTGTTTACTATCTTTAAAGAGCTTTCGTCTCTTGGCCCAGTGGTCGCCGCCGCTGCCGCCGCCGCCGCCGCCGCCGCCGCCGCCGCCCTCTGTCTCCATGTGCATCCCAGGCTTCAGATGCTCTTTGGCGTCTATGGAACCTGCAAATAAACATGAACATGAGTTTCATGTAAACTTGAATGAATATTAAAGAAACATGTGACGTGTTTTCAGAGTTGGAACGTTATTTTGTGAACGTGCTGTCGATACACGTCGCTGCTGATTGGACAACAGCTCTGACACACCCACAGAAAACAAACCCTGAGCCTCGCTGACACGTTTGGAGGAAACGTGTCGTTCAACGCGGGAACTGAAGCAAAACATTTTGATCTTGAACGTGACCCAGCTGAAGCGAGAGCGTCTCTGTGGACCAGCGGACCAATCAGACTACACTTTATAAGGAGGAGGGTCTTAAAGAGACAGGAGCTACAACCAGGTGTTGGAGACAGACGAGCTGCAGCGATGGACAGGAAATGTTTCTGGACATTAGAGCATGAAGACATTTTACACTAATTCAATAATCAACATGAAGATGAACAGAATACGTCTCATTTCAGTTTGACTCACATCTGGACATAGTGTGTCTCTCGGCCTTGTAGGTTTTACTCAGCTGCTCCTTTGCATGGATTTCTCCATCAGGACAGGAAGCAGCAGCTTTGTCCTCGGGTCCTCTTCGTCCTGCGTCCTGCTGCAGATCGATTGTCTCCTCTGACGTCAGCGGCAGACACGTGCAGGTGTTTCCTGTTTCGTCAGCAGGTGGTTTAGATTCCGTCACATCGTTCAGACGACTCTGAGAAGACTTGAGGTCCATCTGCAGGAATCTTTGCTCCAGTGCGCCGACGCTCAGAGTCGTGACTGAGGACGAATGATTGGGTGAAGATGAAACTGAATCTTCTTGATTCTCCACCTTGACAGGATGAATCTGCAGCATCTGCTCCTCCGAGCCGCTGCGGGACGGAGGGATGACCTGGATAGAAAGAGCTCTTTGACTGAGCTTCTCTGAGTCCTGATATTCTACGTCCTGATCAAATCCACTGTCGGGGACTTCAGTTTGATCAACTTTACAGTCACAGTCATCAGTGTCCAGACTGTCTCTGTCCCTGCAGACGCTCTGTTTGAAGTCCTGCCTCATGTCTTCATCACCGTATCCTTGTCCTCCAGCGACACCAAACACATCATCAGCGTTTTCTTCGGAGCTCGTCACACAGAATGGACTGAGACATGTTGGTTTCCCCTCATGGCTGCTTTGTTTAGAAGAATTATAATTTCCAATTCCAAATGCAGGGACCTCGTTGTTGCCATGGTGACTCGTCCCCAGCTTGTCTGATTGGAGAGGACGCGAGCACATGAGCAGAGAGGAGAAGGACTCGGTGTAGGGCAGCAGCAGGTCGTCCTGCATCAGCTCAGCAGCTTCTGACGTCCCAGGAAACGTCTGCCGCCTCTTCTGTGGTAACGGACACGCTCTGTGCTGGACTGTGGCGATGCTGTTGTTTCTGATCCAGGATTTTCTCTTCTGGGAGCTGATGAAGTCTTTGGTGAAGCTGGACCTGTTGGTGGACAGAGACGGTCTCATGGACATGGACTCGTAATTGTCAGATTCTGAAAACTGATCAAAAGAAGGAGCTGGATCTGCCGGGCCGGACTCTGCCAGGCGATGGTCAGCAGGACTCTGAGTTCTGATCCCACAGGCCTCCAGGTGGAGGGTCAGGTCGTCCAGAGTGTTGTATTTAACGTCTGCAAACTCCTGCGGTGGAGGAATGTCCCAGAACGAATCGATGCTCTTGTGAAACCGCTTCCTCTTCTCCTGAGCTGTGATGTTGAGCGGCGGTGGACTCGATGGAGGATTTACTGACCAGCAGTCTGTCGCTTTTTGTTGTTTGTGACCGACGCAGCATCGGCAGCAGTTTGAATCGTCCCACATTTTCGATTTTGAGCCACTAACTTCCTCCATGTTGTTGCTCGAGCTGCCAAAAGTAAACCTGTAGTTTTTATCTGCTTTGTTATTTGAAGTCCACGTCTCCTCACGTCTGCTCGTCTCAGCGACGTCCCTCTGGTCGGTCGTAAAAACAAACGTGGTCTTGACGTCGGATGTGTTGAGCTGCAGAATTTCTTGAATTTCCAGTTTGACCTGGGAGCTGCTGCAGTTGATTCTCATGATGTTGGTCACTGGCGTCGAGGAGTGCGTTGGACTAGACAAGGGTTGGTGTAACTGCTGAAACGTGATGTTTGGGGACGAGTCTTCCAGGTCGCTGACGGACACCGACGTCACGATCTTCACTCCTTTCTCTTTGTCCTCGGTGGTTTTGGTGTAGATGCTCCTTTGGTTTGAACTCAGGTGATAATCTGGTTTCAGTCGCTTCTCTCTGGGAGGACAGTTGTTGTATTTCTCTTCATCTTCAGACGCAGACGGAACGTTTTCCTTGAGGAACGAGTCCGTTTCACCTTTTTCGAAGACGTCGTCTCTGAAGCAGACGCTGTTGCTTTTGTTGTGCTTGTGAAAGATGTACGGCGAGACGCTCTCTGCAGAGACACAACAAACGTGTTAACAACGACCTCATGACTGCTTCACGTGCTGGATCCTGATCCTGACTGATGGTTACAGGGATTGTTGGTGGTCATCTGTCAGTATTGTGACTACAGACAGGGGGCAGCGTGACACTTGTGACACGGCGTGAAGTATCGAACTTCAGCGTGACGCCCCCTGTTGGTTTGTGAGTTTAGCATCTTGTTCAGCACCATCTTGGTTTTTGAAACCAGAAGTAACCATAATTGGGGTGGAGCCTGACTCAGAGCTTGAGGACACACCCACCTACACCTGCCACCTGCCCCCATTGGACGGTACTAGCTGTCAATCACACTGTGGTCCCCCCCCCCCCTTACACCCGGTGCTTTCTGGTCTGTTTGACTCTAAATGATCTTAATTGATTAATGAACATCAGCTGTTTGAAGACGACTCGAGACTGAGACAGAAACTCCTGAGGACAAAGTTTACTGACGTTAGAAAGAGACATCTTCTATAGAAACTACCAGAGGAGTCGCCCCCTGCTGGTCAGAGAGAGAACACAGGTTCAGTCACTTTAAATAGTCTTATAAAATATGTTATATATATAAATATATATGAATATAGAACATGTGATATGAGCCCTGGTTCAGACTCTGAGGAACCTTCGTGCAGGTTGTTTGGAAAATGTGACTCAGTTAATCTCAGGATTAACTTCAGCTCACGCGACGACCAAAGCTGCGACTCACGTTTGCTGCTGCTGGAGCTCTTCCTCCTCCGGCTGCTCCTCCTCCTCCCTCTCTTACTCATCCTCACATCAGCCTCACTTCACCTGACGACCAGAAAATACACGAGCTTTGTCAAAGTGCACAATGAGTGTTCTCAAGGGAAGAGAAGGAACCAGAGGGAACACGATGAGACGACATGAGGGAACC